CAAGTAGAAGAGAATAATCTGTATCTCAAAACGTGGAACTCCAAAGAGCGGTTTCGCCTTCACCGCAGCGACGATGGACCTCCTTGATGCGGTCGGCTGATCTGCAAATGCCACTGCAGGTCCAGTCGAATGACGCTACACATATATTCCCTGCCTGTGCCTTCCATTCACAATCTGCAACTCCACAGTTATTATATCATATTATTCTATGTGTACAAGCATATGTTACCCTTGAAAAGTTCTCAACGAAAACTGTTATAAACATGTGAGTACATGATTTAAGTATCCTTTTCTATGAGATTTGAAGCTTGAAAGATTCTGGTGAGGTCTCATGTCACTAAGAGATCTTGAAAGAGACGAGTCATCTTTAGCATTTGCTTCAAAGTAAAACATTCTAATTAGGTGCAGAAAACATGTGATCGATGTGTACGTTTTATCTATCAAACAAATTAGACCAAGATTGTCTCGTCATTTCTGTATCTTTCTGGGTTTAACAGAGACATCTGCTGTAGTAATTTCACCGAGGAAATATCTAAAATTTGTTAATTATCATCTATGAGATATCATAAACCGGGTCTTACAATTTGCAGTATAGGAGAAGAAACTGATACATAGTACATACCAGGAGGAGTACCGCAGCATAGCCTTCTATCGTCGATGTGTTCGACGTCAAGGCCGATAAACCATGCTCCCAGCGATACATCTTCATTAGCATACTTGTGCAGAACGTGCCTGAAACATCAGAGTATCAGACAGATCTCAATGAATGACAAAGATCGGCAGAAGTTGTGGAATGTAGAGTGAGGCATGAATCTTACTGATTGATCGATATGTAGGAAGCCAAGTCTCTTGAAATGGCATATAGCTGTCCAGTAGCGTGACGGAAATACTTGTTTCCAGCCTCACCAAATTTCCAATACTCGGGTTCATGATATCTCACTCCTCTGCTCAACAATCAAACTCGAGTTATACGTAACAGAACCTTACTGAATTCATGATCCTGAAGAAGGAAACTGAGATATCGGCTTTTACTTTTGGGAAAGGACGGGACCAGACTTCATGCATCCAATATAGACTCGAGATTTTTTCCGATGTCTGACGAGAGTTTCCCCAAGTGTTGCTGTGGAGATTGCAATGAAATATCGAACCCGTCATTGAAATTCCCAAGACAATGTGTACAAGACCCAAAAAGATTGAATTTTTTGCGTCATTTGATAAGATTCTAGAGCATACCAATGTTTACATGAACATCATCATCGACTTTGACATAGAAATCTGCATCCCACATAGAAACCGCTGTAGCAAAGTATGTCTTTGTTTTTCCCGACAACTCGAGGTACCCTTCAACATGATCCTGTCAAAAACAAAAATGGAGCGTAAACAACAACACGACTTTAATAAGACAGCTTTGCAAACAAAAAGCGTGAATTAAGACAAGAACAATACCAGTCTCAAAAAATCTCCATGCTTCCTGTCCTCAGCTTCAATAGCTCGATCTAGAATTCCCCCAGGCGTGGCACTAAAAAAACCAATGATAAACAACACTCAGATTACACAGAACCACGTGTAAATCTCCATATGAACAATGTGGTTAGGTTTCTGATACTATAGTCTGCACTGAAGAAACAAACTCTCACCTGTGACCTATGACAAACCGAATGATAATTCCCTTCTCTTCTTCTAGCCTTTTTCGTTTTTCACCTATAAGAAGAATTTTTCACAGGAAATAATCAGTGGATATATTCAATCAAGACTATCGAGAGAACAGAGAAATATCAGAACCTTGAGGCATCCAAGTGGCTCGAACAGAATCTCTTCTTTTCCGGCTGCTAAAAGCTGTATTAATCCCTACAACCATCAGGTATCGTCTTTTCCCCGATGATTGCTTCTTCCCTCTATCATCTGATATGGGAGCACCGTTTAGTAAAGACTCCTGAGCTGCCTTTGCTGCGGCTAACTCCATTTCCAAGTTCGAGATGGTCTTATCCAAGGTTCTGCAGTCATCACACACGGGCGTGAGCTTGAGAAAGTTCACGTTGTTGATAGCAGTAGAGCTGAAACTTACTGTATAGCATTATGTGTCTTGGTAACTTCTCCAAATAAAGCCCGGGGATCGCGCATTACTTCTTTCTGGTAGAGCTAAAGAGGAAAGCGATCAGATTGTAAATACAGAAAGCCAAGAATTCTTAACGGTTTTCATGGTAGAATCCGATGGAAGAAAAGGCTGACATAAAGGGATTGAACAATTCGTTGTTCTTACAGTTTTTGGATCACAGCCGTCGGAGATCAGCTTCAATCTCTCAGCTTCTGTTACAGATGGCCGAGCCAAGCCTTTGGGTTCAGGAACATTCCACATCCTGCAACAGATGTTTGTCCCAAATAATTGAGACAAGAGTCAGCAGTTCAACGTTACATCTAAACGTTCGATCTCGGATAGAATGAACCAAAGTGTACTGAGATAGATCAACTCGAGAGAATGTCTTAGAACATACCTCATATTAGCAAATTCTGGATTGAAGAACACTCAAAGAGTTAAAAACAAATTCACCGCCCAGTAATCGAAATTCCGTTTTTGTGTGCATAAATTCGGATGTTGTTTATGAAAACTTGAAAACCCCAATTCAAATATATATAACATACAAGTGAATCAATGAATCTCCAAACAGGCAGATGACATACAGTCTAGAAGTGACGGGAAACAGCTGAAAGTTTTCGAAATTCGAATAGATTACCTATCGGTAAAGAACATTCCGGCGCAGAAGCAGCCCAAGCAGAGAAGCAAAGCCCATTTCTTCGAAACGAAGCTTGTAGAAGAAAGATGCTCTCCTTTGATCTTCGTCGACATTTTCCCTCCGCGACACAGAAATTTCAGATTTCCAGAAGCTATATGAATCCGAGAAACTCCATAGCCGGAACCAGCACCAAAAATCACCCCAATCTTACAGAGCTTGCGAAACCAGAATCTGAGATTTCACCCAAAATCCACGAAGACTAAAATCATGAACGGACTAATCGAAAATTCGTCGTCGTTTTTCTTCTTTGCTTTTGGAGCTAGGTATTCAAAGCTCTCTCTCTCTGTCCGGAATCTCTCTAATTGTGACTTTCGCAGGAACTTTGCAAGAGAAGGGACGTAGACGTTGAAGGGAAGGAAGAAGAAATAAGAACGACTTCCTAACCGTCCGGTACCTCTCTCCTTAAAACCGGGCTCAGAGTTTTCCGAAATTACCGAATTGTCCCTGTCGTGACGAGTGTCGATCGACCACCCTTTTTCTTATTCATTTATTTTAAATTTTTGATACCATCGTTTTCTAATCCGAATATTGAAAAGGCAATAAGATTTTTTTTAAAAAAAAAATGAAATAATCGGTGAGACGATCAATGCAGTGACAGAAATGCCCTCGCCATCAAATTTTGGTGATATAATAAAGATAAATTCCGGTAATACTAATCTAAACCCGATTAAGAAGGATTTGGGTACATGTTTTAAGAGTTATAAAATGTGGTGGAAAGGGTTTTCACATGGGATTTTGAAATGAATAATGTTAATAAATAATTATATTTAAAATTTGTAATTAGATTCGTGTGACGTAGAAGTTCAACTAATAAAGAAGGTGTTTGATGAAAAGACCGAGTGGTCCTCCTCGGCTTTTGGGCAGGCATCACATGAACCTTTTAAGCCAAACCCATCAATAAATTTATTATTTATCTAATGCTCATGTTCGCTTTTATACAATCCTTTTTCATATTTATTTGGATACCAAAGTTTAATTTGGCAATAGGTATGAAAGAAGGGAAACTAAAAGATGACAATGTGGAATGATAAAATATCGAGGACTCAAAATTATTTTATTTTATTAAAAAGAATATTTTGTTTCTCTCGATTATCATATAGTTTTGAAAACAAGTAAAAATACATGTAGAGTCATTTTGTTGCTATTAAATTGATAGGTGTTGGATTTCTCATAGTGAATTACATGTGTTATGTATAATCTTTGGGGGGGGGAACCTACAATAATAATCCCATTAATTTTTTAAAATTAATTCTAATTACTGAATTAATATTAAATTGTATTGGAGTCCAAGGATAATGGCTACATATTAATTTTTTTTTTTGTCAAACCAGAAAGTTCACCTAGGCCTTCGGCCCAACCTACATCTCCCTGAGCTCGGGAGCAGCCTTTGAACACACAGTCTTTGACTATGTCTCTCCCTCCCCGCATGCTTAGATTCGAACCCCTGACCTGGAGGAGGAACATCATCACTTCCAGTACAGGTACCACTCGACCACAGACACGTGGGTTACATATTAATTTTATACAATTTTTAAAATATGATTATATTTGAAAATTTAATGCAATCGTTATATTGGTATATTAAATTTTAAAATTATATATTAAAATATCAGTGATTTTTTTTTTAGGTTCTCCCTAAAAGATGGTATGAAGTCGGTGTTCGCATACACTAGATAAATTTGGTTTTAGGACAAGAAGCAAATTAAGAACAACAAGTTGTGTCGTATCCAAGCAAATTTAAGGTAAAATGGTTGACTTTGACTTTTAGTTTGACTTTAGCCTTAGCATAGGATGGTTGAATAAGTCGCGAGAGTTAATGGTTGGTAATCGACTTTTCACCTTGCTAAAAAAGTTGAAAATATTTCCAACAAATTCAATAATTTTTCAAAGAAAGAAACCAACATTTCAAATCACCAGTAAGCATTGACATTGCATGTGTAATCACTAAAAGATAATATATAGTTTACATTTTAATCAAGATTTACAACCTATAAGCAATCACTGAGATGGTATGCAATCATTTTACATCTATTTGAACTAAAATAAATAATTTTCTAATTTTAAAAATCGAGTAGAAAGCTTTTCACACGTGACTTAATGTGCCTTAGCCAATGAAATTTAGTGATTATAGCAACTAAGCCCACATGCCGACATTCCGCCAAACCCTCTCATTAATTACCGACAGTTTTTATTTTATAATAATACATATCGGTTGTAATAATTCAATTTTAACCGAACATATATATAACCATTGGATATATAGGATTGTGCATTATATTTATGTTTTGTATATTTAATATACTTCTATGTAAAAACATATATTCTAAATCTCAAGGGGGGTAAATTACATATATTCTAAATATATTGATTGATTTTTTTTATAGATTTTGAGTTGATTTAGAATCGATTTTGTTTCGGATTATATTTTATTGTAAGATTAACATATATATATATATGTATATATTAAAAAGTCTATTTTATTTGATTATTAATATATTTTTTATCTATAAACACGTGTCGCTTACTAATTGGGTGCTCAGGTCATTAGATCCTGCTGACAGCCCAAGCAGATCATAATGGACCACGTCACGAGTTATGACACGTGTCAACTCCATATTTAATCTTTAGAGCTGATTATTGTATATTTGTGTAACCATTTATAATATCACATGACGGAGTGTTTTAAGGACAAGATAATTAGCTTAGTAATCAATTATTTTTGTCAGTCCAATTATTTTGCATGCTTCATCATATATTTAAATTATTGAATAATTATTCTGTTTCGAACAATTTTAGTTTTTCATTTCTCATGTTAGTTTTTTATCTGATACCGTTTTTTTATTTTAAAAAATAAAACATCTTAAAAAACTAAGTACATTCTTTTAATAATCAATTATTTGTTGAGATAGATATTCACACCCCCAAAAAATTTGATTTCGTCATTTGAGATGCCAAAAGAATCAAAATCTAAATATAGTTTATGATTAAAATAATCTAAAAAGGTTAAACATAATCTAAAAGGAAAATTAGATACCTCTCCATGGAACATACTTCACATCATATAAAAATATTAATATAGAACATAAGATTCAAACAATTACAAAAATGCCACGCCTTGATGGTGCATAATTATAATTTAGACATATATATATATATATATATCATGTAAATCATATCTATAATTCTAATGCGCCTTAGAGTTTTGTTCATCTTTCTTTAAAATCCGTCTTTCTCTACTATCGTCAAATTGTATTATAGAAGTTAAGATCTTTTTTTTTTAAAATCAAATGCTGATCAACATGATCAGCTACACAAATAATATGGAGTGACTTACTTCCAAATCGTATTTTATCCGAATCGAAACCATATTAATAAACCGCAATAAAAATCAATAAAATCTGAATATAATACGAAACCAATGATTGTTTTTTTTAAATCATTCGTTTAATTTACTGCAAATCGAAAAAAAAAAACAAACAAAACCTTGGCATATATCTATGTAACATGAAGAAAAAGAATTTCAGGGAAATATTTTTTTTTTAAAGAGATAATAAAGAAGGAGATGGTCGGAGAGCGTGTGGGCTGGACCTGAATTCGGGGAAGGTCAATGATATCACATGCGAAACGTCGTGTTAGATGCCTCAACAGCGTGTTTTCTTCCTCAGCTAATTTTGTTTGTATACATATAATGTTTTAAAATATTTATATTTTGTTATAATCGATAAGCCCCCACGCACACTTATACACACAGAGCGACCGACCATCTGCCGGTTTAACTAAAAGAACCAATATATAGTGCACATGTATTGTGTAACGGTACGAAATTTAACAATTTAAATGAATAAAAGCATAAAAACAATGCTTCTAACTAAATTGGACTATAGATAGTGAAACCGGTTAAGACCGGTTTAGGATGATGAGATTGGTCAAGATCAGAAGAAGTTAGGTGCCTTGCTTGTAAGAAGAGACTCTGTCGCTTTAGAAACACCCAATGTTTGGTCTCTTCGTTCTTCAAAGCTGCCATCCCATGAAAATCCACCTGTCTCTGTCTCTTGTTGCAGCTCCTTTGTCAAAATCTACTTGATTTTTTTTTCTCTCATTTTTATAATCAATTTATGAAATTTAACAAATTAAATGAATAAATAATGTCTCCAAAACTGAAAGTACACCCAATTCAAGTGCTTTAAACTGTTGCAAATTCTCTTGGAGATTAAAGCATAAAGATGATCCAAAGTTGCTTAAATGGGTTTTCGTCATATATGCCAAGCTTTTAGGAGAGCCATTACATTTACAGTATTCGAAATTCCACGTTCTTTGTACTATTTCTTTAAATTTATTTTGATAATTCAATATAAAAAACCAGATTCTCAGGCTATTTATAAGTGTATATACATTTACTAATATGTATAAATGCCGACTTTAGCTTTTTATATCGAACAAGATTAATCTATGTTACCCAAACTTGGCTAATGCAACCGATAAAACATGAACAAAACATATGTTCACAGTGGCGGACCTAGAGAAAGTGACGAAAGGGGGTAAGAATTTTATATATATGATTCTACCTAAATAATTTTTATTTTAATGGGGACATTTAACATTTTTTTTCTATAATTTTATAAATTTACAAGTAAAATTGATATTTTTTAATTGATTCGAGGTCTTTGCCCCCACACCATATAAAGTGGGTCCGCCGCTGTATGTTCCGTACTTAATTTGAACTTTAAATTTGAAAAATGGACATATGTTTAAAATCACATAACTGATCTCCAATCCCAATATTAGTGTGAACTTTGATTCAAAATACTCGGTTACAAAAAAAACTATATTCTATAATATACGAAAAAAGGTGATATATGTGTGGGGTTTTACAAAGAAGATATGTCACTTTTACATATGAAATAAATAAATAAATAAAATTTCCAATATAGATGTTGTCTCCTTAAATGGGAAGATAGATTGCAGCAGTCTTGGTTGTCTAATAATTTAATGTTCTGGAAAAATTATGGCAATTTAAATGAAGAAAATAAACAATAATAGTGATGAAGAGCCACAAGTGGTGCATCATGAAAACCCATCTCTCTTTATGGCTCCAATTCATGCACTTATCTGTGACCCCAATCCATAAATTGTTCCCTTTCCATTTTTTTTTTGTGGAGCATCAAGCAAGTTGATTTATTGATTCTTTGATTCCCAGCAACTTTTCTTGGTCGGTCGAATCTTTTTTCCAAACTTATTTTTTCATATTCTTGGACCCCCCATTTTTTATTGGAACTTGTCTTTCCCATTATGCCTACGACATGTCCATTTCGTTCGTCGTTGACTCCTCCCTCTAAAACTAAGTTAGGTTTCATAAAATTCATATATCCCATGTAATATATTATTGCATCAAAATAAAAATTACTATAAAAAGATTTGAAATATATTATAGATCTATTATTGAAAAAAAGATTGTCACCCGTGATATGTGTGGTACAATTATATGAGTATATCATTAGAGCTTGAAACTCACACATCGTGGACTTATTATATATCACACAAATATTGAATCACGTAACGAAGAGATCTGTTTCTCTCCGCAGTTCAACATTTCGTGGATTTGGGCCTTAACGGCCCATTTTAGGGTCTCGTTTCTAATGGGTGGTAAGCTTGGGCCTGTTTTTTAGCCCACTACATTAGACGTGTCAATATATGATTGGCCATCCCTGGGGGGGAGGTGAGAGCAAAGTCTAGACCGAGCCGCCGTCAGATGATGACGATGTGCGACGGGGAGATCCGGAAGGAACACTGAGGGATCGAAAGGAGACGGGAAATGGAGGTTAGGGACAAGGTCAAAATCGTAATTGTAGCAGCTTCTCTAGCGGTGGTGACGATTCTTATCACGGCGAAGTATCGGCGGCGGAGACGCCGCCTCCGCGGAAAGCAGACATGTCGGAGCTCGTGCTATCTGCATTCCGAACGGAAGCCGCAGCTTGGTTTCAAACGCGTTTTGGCGGATAATTCTTACTCTGCGTTCAAGCACTTGAAGCTTGGCGGGTCATCGTCTACAGGTGAATCTGATCTATCCGTGCTTGAAATTTGCTATTGCTGCTAAGCGAACTTGGAAGAGAGTTTGTTTGGACTACCATTCAAACCTGTTTGGTTTCTGAGAAAATCTCTGGAACCATAGTTTTGATGGATCGTCGGCTCCGTAGCGGAAAACCCGTTCCTCTGAGGTTTAAAACCGCTTCTGCATTTGAACGTGATATATTTTGTTCTTCAATGTTTGACAAATGAAGGTGTTGCAGAGAATCTTTCCAACTGTCATCCGTATGAAGCTGAGATCTTGACCCTGTTGGAGAATCCTCGGTTAGACTTTGAATTTTTGAGGGGAGACACTTCATTGGAAATGAAGGATTCATATATCTGGGTTGAGACGGAGTCGCAATTGAGAGAACTCGCTGACGCGTTGAAGAAGGAAAAGGTTTTTGCAGTTGATACAGAACAGCATAGTCTGCGATCGTTTCTAGGTTTCACTGCTTTGATACAGGTAAAATGTCTGGGAAAGTTTGGATTTTTTTTTGTCTTTTGGTATAGCTTGAAGTTAGGATTCTTATATTTTTCGCCTCCTGCAGATTTCTACGCAAGAGGAAGACTATTTGGTGGACACGATCGCGTTACATGATGTAATGGGTATTCTCCGGCCGGTTTTTGCTGATCCTAGTATTTGCAAGGTAAGTTATTTGATATAGATGTCTATGTGGTAGATCACAACTGCTTCATTGTTTGTGTTGATATTAACTAATTGAGGTCCATGCTCTGCTACAATTCATGTTAGTCTACTCGTTTATCTGATAAGGAAAGTTGCTGCATTTTGAAGCCTTAGATTTTGCCTTCTTTTTACTTGTGTTCTGTCTGTTTAAAACATTATTGTGTACTCGTTTTCTAAGGTGTTTCACGGGGCTGACAACGATGTGCTCTGGCTTCAAAGGGACTTCCATATATATGTTGTTAATCTTTTTGATACTGCAAAGGTATATAACTCTCTGTAGCATGCTCTGCAAGTTAAGTTTTGTGGAATGCTATAAATGTGTACCAGTCTGTCCTATGCTATACACGGGCATTTACGCTAGTGAAGGTGGGGTTGTTTATTGTTTCTCTTTTTCCGAGTCAGAGTAAATAAACTGGTTCATGTTTATTAGGCAAACCTGTGCCTTTTTCGGAGGAAATGAGCTGTGATATGAAATAGTAACTAACACTTTATTTATGCATAATCCAGGCCTGTGATGTGTTGTCAAAGCCTCAAAGGTCGCTTGCATACTTGCTTGAGACATTCTGTGGAGTGGCTACTAACAAATTACTGCAGGTTTGTCTTTTTTATGGAATTTTTCAATTTTTTATGGCTTATCTATATTAAGCTTGACTTACAGATAACATTAGTTCTTGAGATGATGCGTCTGAATTCATTAATTTGACATTTCACTGAAGCGTGAAGATTGGAGACAACGTCCGCTCTCAGAGGAAATGGTGCAATATGCCAGAACTGATGCTCACTATCTGCTTTATATTGCCAAGAGTTTGACCTCCGAACTCAAAAAACAATCCACTGGTAAGGCATCTGCTTAGCTTTTAGTTTTTGGAAACATAGACTTTGTGGCTAAGTATTCCAGAAATGTAGTATGCAAGTTCTATATATGTATTTATACATTCTCAAAGTATGATTTGCCTAGTAACACAGTTTTTTCATCTTCTATTTGAATTGGAATCCTGCATATCAAGCAGTATATTTTCTCAACGTTATGTAAACTTAGGGAATAGCAGGTTATGACTTTGACCTGCTTCGGTAAAAACATGATTCTCAAAAACCATTGTTTGCTGTTTCTTCTCGCAACAAAATTCTAAAATATCAATGTATCAGAAGATTCATCTAGCCCCGATGACAAATTCCATTTTCTTCTCGAGGCTAGTCGACGTTCAAACATGATCTGTTTGCAACTCTACACGAAAGAAACTGAAGATTTTCCTGGGGATGCTGCTGCTTCTTCATTACTTTTCCGACATTTGAATGGTTATGGAGATGGTTCTACCATCTCATTAGATATGGAGGTACGCATTTGTTTTTTTAACTCCATTACATCTTACATGGTTATGCCTTGAACTGTGTTAATACATAATACGCATCTTTCAGTTTCAGGATCTTGTAAGGAAATTATGTGCATGGAGAGACTTAATGGTGAGTTAAACTTATATTTCTCCCCTGCTTTTGTTACTTACTCTTCACCAAAGTTTTTGTAGTTGCGTCTTCTTTTCCTTAAACAAGTTCAGAAATGGTCTTATTTTCTATTTATATTTCAATGAAACTGGTGTCTGTATCTCTTCATGTTTTTACCTGTTTTGTGGTTCTGACATGAAAAATACTGTTACGAATACCATGTTCTGCTGCATATCTGGTTGTAATTGTTAGTAAGCATATTTCTTTTCAGGCCCGTATTCATGATGAAAGCTCAAGAAATGTGCTATCTGATCAGGCCATTCTCAATCTGGCTTATAAGCTTCCATCTACAACTGAAGACATCTATGACACAATATCCCAAGCTGACTTGAGTACAGAATCTTTGAGCTTTAGTTTCTCGGTCCAGACCCCATCTCATGTTGTTTGTAGTCATTCGAATGATGTCTATCAAATGATAAAGGACAAGTCAGCCCGCCTGGAAACTACATTACCGGCAATTCTTCAGAAATGCCTGGGTACAGAAGGAACCTGTCAGCTTTCTGTCTTTAATTATTCTCTGTTGGTCAACTTCAATATGAAGCTAACTAATCGATCTGCTACCAAGCAAAATGGAATTAAGAACCCTAAACAAGTCGCTCGAAAGGCATCAAGAGAGCTTTTTGTCAAGAAATTTTCCTGCAAGGCCCCTGTTTATCATAATTGTAGAATATATGCAAACGACGAACGGTTGCTCTGTTACTGTGATAGGAGAAAACTCGAATGGTATGTTTATTGTTTTTGCTATCCATTATTATTTTGATTAAAGAATAAAGATCTCATATAACTTTCATAGCTTTTCTATGTTACAGGTATCTTAGTCGTGGTCTTGCAAAACTGATCGAAAAAAATCCACCTGCCATTATGCTTTTGTTTGAACCGAAAGGTCGTCCAGAAGATGAGGATAATGATTTCTATATCCAGAGTAAGAAGAATATATGTGTTGGCTGTGGAGAAGGGAATCACTACTTGCGTTACCGAATTATACCTTCATGTTATAGGATTCATTTTCCTGAGCACTTGAAAAGCCATCGATCTCATGATATTGTCCTACTCTGCGTGGATTGTCATGAAATTGCTCATGCTGCTGCTGAGAAGTACAAAAAACAAGTCGCATCAGAATTTGGAATTCCTCTTTTTGTTCGTAAAGTATTTGATTCAAATGAAGACTCTGAATCATCCAGTACCTTTGAGGATGCCGGTGTCTCCCCATTGCAGCTTAGAACAGCTGCTATGGCACTTATGCGGCATGGGAACCGGATGCCATCTAGCCGCCGTGAAGAATTGTTGCAGGTGATACTAAGCTTTTTTTTTTTATAATTATCTTCCGATGGCATTCAAATAATATTTTTTGCTCTTAGACTGTTAGGAGGTATTATGGTGGACGTGAAATATCGGAAGAAGATCTGGAAAGAGCTCTATTGGTCGGAATGAGCCCTCACGAGAGAAGAAAACTCCAGAAAAAGAAAGGGGTCTCCTTCAAACATTCAAGCTCCCATACGGATATAGAGGAAAGTGGCAACATCACATCCTCCGGTCGAGGTACATTGAAACACATCCTTTTTCAATTAAAAAAAAGGCAAGAAGGAGATCCTTGTTTTATCGTGGATACTGATGCAAATGTCTCATCTGCCTTCAGAGCAAGGAGTTGATGATGGAGAAGCCCCTTCAGGTCCTGAGAAAGATATGAACGCAGAAACTGGTGGAGTTTCCCATGACAGTAGTGAGAATGGTACAAGTGCAGGAAATGGAACTCGGGAAGTAAACGATTCTCTATTAAACCAACAAAACTCGAAACTGTCCTTGTTAGGACATGGACCACATGGGAAACAGGTAGTAGAGCATCTGTTACGGGAATATGGGGAGGACGGTGTTCAGGAATTTTGCCAAAGGTGGAGAAAAGTTTTTGTTGATGCTGTTAAGCCTCGCCATTTACCCGCTGGGTGGGATGTTAGACACAGGTACCTACCTCCACAGATCAGATATTAATGCCTTTTGCCAACTTCTGTTATTTTGCCAGTTTTCCATGACCAATTTGCCTATAATATGTTTCTTCTCTCTACTAGATTTCATTTCCATGGCCATGTGATAGAGAAAACCTGACCTGGCATGTTATGAAGCACTGTTGGATTTCCATCCATTTGGCTTATTTCTTCTCACTGATTTGAGTTGGTACATATATATGGTAAATTTGTTTAAACGTTGATGGGCAGTGGGAAGAGAGATTTCGGGGAGTTCAGCGTGTATAATCCCGCGAAAAGAACCACGGCTTCTGAGCAGGGAGGAGGGCATGGATCAGTCTACGAGTGAATTCACATCAATTGACCATATATGGTATGGTATGGTATGGATGGATGGGCTTGGGGTTTATGGTAATGACTTTGTCTCGTTGAGCCCATCTTAGTCACCATTGACAGATTTATCCTTCATCTTTTGATTTATTTGTAAAATCAGATTTTGTCGCTGATTCTGCTTCATAATCATATTTTCTCCACAATGTCCAGTCTCTGAAAGGGTTCGACTGGTTGTACCGCAGCGGTTGCGGTTGCGGGTGATAGCGTTTTCAGAACGTTTGATAGCGATTATGAATGATTAGTACTGACTGGTTGAGAAGTTGCTGTTGGTAGCGATTGCGGATGAGTGCAGTTAGAAGTGAATGGTTCATTACGGTTGCGGTTGCGTTTTGATATAAATTATCAAAAAAAATATTATTTAAAAATAATTTTTTATAATAGTTTTAATTAAATTTTTCGTATCATTTGATAAAAATTATTTACTAAATTTATAATAATTAAATAATAAATTTAAAATATAAATATTATCAATTTAATTTATTTTTAAGTAAAAAAATAATTTTATTATAAAAATTATTAAAAATAATCATTATTAAACCTAAAAATTATACTATTGTATTTTTTAATTAAAATATAATACTAAAAAATAATATCAAATCATAACACTAAACAAAATCATCACCAATATATATATTAATGTTTTATATAATTTCTAATAAAAATATTTTAGTTTTTTTGTCAAAACGGCGGAAACCGCTACCAAAACGCAAGTTGGAAGCTGCGATTAGAAAACACAAGTTTGGTTGCGGTTGCGGTTGGTTGCGGTTCAACCAGTCAGTTTTTCAATCGCCCGCAACCGTTGGAAATCGCAACCGCTCCGTTTGCGGGTGGCGGCGGTGCAACCAGTCGCCCCCAAACTTAACAAGACAATATAGCTCTTGAAAAGTAATGAAGCGAAGGGGAAATTAGTGGGACGAATCCTTAACCAAACTTATGTATGTCTAATCTCAATGTAAACTATTTTTAATATTAATTTTTAAATATATTAAAATTTTCAACAACCAAACGGTCACACCATGACGGACGGTGATTCTAAAAGATGTATTAGCATCATTCTTGGTTCAAGGACAAAAGATACGTGACAACAAACACAAATAGGCTTCAGACGATTTTTACTCTGTGAACTAACTCTTTTTGTTTAATGCAATCAAGAGCGCTTAGGTTTCTTCTTGGCAGATTTATCATCAACCGCAGGCACAGGTCCAGTAATATACTCTTCTGCATTCACATCCTCATGGTTCTTCTTCTGCTTCTTCATCTCCTTTGCCTTTTTCTGCAAAACCCATTATGAAAAATGGGAGTGAATCCCTTGCTTTTTTGCGGCCTGTAAAATGAGGATAAGCATCTGGGTTCATAACTTTTTCTTTTTTACCTTCAAGGACTTTGTCATCTCGGCCAGATCTTTCTTGCCATCCTCGGACTTGTTTGAATCCTGCTGCTTCACAGTTTCCTGCAACAACCCATTATCGTGTCTCAAGCCAGGGATTTCATCTTCTACGTACGATTATTATTCAAGAGAGGCAGACCTCAGGGGGGATGAAGGCAGCATCTCTCTTCCTCTTGTTCTCTGCACTCTTCTCTGCCTGCTTATCCAGCTTCTCCCGCCACTTTTTCTCGGATTTCTTCTTCTCGCTCAGGAAGTATTCTCCCGATTCCAATTGCAAATCAATCTGGAGAATGAAATACGATATCAGTCAAACCACACTTGAAAGGGGCAGTGACACATCGTGGGAAGACGATACAAACCAGCTTACGAAAGGAAACTTTTCATAAGTCAGTGCCAAAGTGATGAACAGAACATGGTTATAGGTTGCAGGTATAAGCACAGAGGTATACTTGCCTTGCTAGGCTGTTGTGGAGGAGGGAGAGGATTATATGGCTTCTTCTCTTTTGTTTTGGGCTTCTTTTGTTTAACATTTTTCCTGGAAAGTCAGATTAAAAATAGGTATTCGTCTTCAGTAAAAATAATCCAGAGGGAGGGAGCTTTCACTCAATGAACATAAAACATAAAAAGGTTCGTACTTCTTGAATTTCGGAAGAAACCTATCCCAGTTTTCATTTGCAAGAGCTGGATCCTTCTCCAGTTCCTTTTTCATCATAAGAATCTACAAAGGCCAAAGGTGAGGTGAGAATATGTTAACCAAATTGACATAGTCCCATGACAAAGCTACTACAACACCATCCAGCAAGTAACAAGATACGTCATGAGAAGATATTACTGTAGCGTAGAACTATTCCACATACCTTTATATGGTATACGGGATGCAGTTTATTCTGTACGCAATCTTCGACAATCCTTCTGACTTGTTTTAGACCTTTAAATGAACCCATTGCAGCCACTGTATTTCCCTGTTAGATGCAGGTAAGCAACAAAGAAAAAACACACATCAAAACCCAAACAGGAAAGGCACGAGTTAAGAAGAAATTTGGTAAAAGAACTACGCAATCACCTGGACTAGAATGTAACAGCCAGATAATATTTCCAGCGCCTGCAGCAAAGAGGAGAATCATCAAGCCAAGCAACACAAAGGAATATGCAGACTATGAAAATGCATTGAGTTTCTCTCAGGCGTTTGTATAGGAAATTGTTTCAATAATGGTGCAGTACCATTCTAGAATCAAAGAAAGAAATGCGAAGTTTAAATTCTCCGTCGAGTAAAATTCCAGGATATAATCTGATCAAACACCAAGCATAAGAACAATTCAGTATCACAGGGATTATTCCTAAACATCTCCCTTCATAAAAGGACTTAAAATTAGTCAATTTGCAAACCTTCAAAGTAGAAGAATTAGGACCCACAAGCCGCTGCCTTCTTTTAACAAATCTTTCCTGCAGACAGAGAACATAATGTAAAAGCTTGTTGACAGTAAATGGGTTGTTGCAGTAGGATACAGAAGCAACCTTTCAGAAAATTCTCCAGACTTTCATATTCTCAACAGAAATTGTGGACAGAACTTGTTTAAATGCATGAAACACGAGCAGAGTAGCTGTTAGGCAGCAGACAGAAAAATATGCACAGCATGTGTGTGGTAGCCTAATCTAGGCCTGATAGTTTTCTTAGTCTGATAAGATGGGCTGAGATAAGTCACCACAAATTACTCTTGGAATTGAGCTATTTCTTCCACCAGCCATTTGGGTAGAAAATATAAATTCTTCTGCTCGGCAATATGCCGTCTCCAATTTTTACACATGAAGGCCATAATCGTATAGAAAATAATTACTTGCAGAGGAACAAACATCTTCCTCTGTAATTTATATTTTTATCAAACCAATTGCATCGCTATGTTCATTCACCAGATTGTCTTATTGACAAGAGATGAAAGCATTTCTAGAAGCAAATCTTTAGAAATCTTTGAGGTTAGTATACAGACCCACATCTTTTTAGCAGCCAATACCGTGTTGTATTATATCCCTAAGTGGCAAAAACATTGAGTATATAAGGTTTGGCTCTGTACCTTATTCCGAACCAAGCTCCCGATCTTGATGACATCACATTGTACTTCGTCATCCAGAATCTTAATAGCCTGTAACCCGCAAGAGAACGTGTTCAAGAAACAGCATAACCCAAACATCAGTATCAGAAATCCACCACAAACTTCGTGACAAAGAACACGGCAATATTAACGTTCCTGAATCCAGCACAGCTCAAAACATTCTCTCAGATGCTACGTGATCAGAAACAATTACTGATTTTGAAGCAGGATTAAACAAATTCAGCATTTAAACTTTCAGCTAAAAGCTCTGAGAGTGACACAAAAAAGTACCTGAGGAGCAGGAACACTTCTTGACAGAAGCTTAATCAAGTCCCTGGCCTTGACGATGATGTAAGGATCTCGAGTCTTCAACGTCGTCGAAACAGTCATAGACCCTTCATTCTGAACATGCCAATCGCGAAATTTGATTTAAAAAAAATCGAAACCAAAGGCTCAAATACACAAAAGGAAAAACACTAGTTTTTTGCAGAGAAGAGCGAAGAGGCACGGACGCACCAGGTTGAGTTTGCAGGCGATACCAAACTCTTTGAGAGCGGCTTCGACCATTGGCCATGCCTCCTGAAGATACTTCTCCCGGTACTGAGGAAAGAGAGTGGAGAAGGAACTTGTCTCGAGCATACCGGTCGGATTCCACGAAGGATCGAACTTCTCGATCTTCCATCGGTCGATGTTGGGGTCGTCATCCCATGGCTTGGGCTTATCGTGTTTACCCTTCTTTTTCACATTGGGTTCCACGTTGGGATGATCGTCCTCCATTGTCGTGGCTTCAATCTGCTAAGAAAGCCAGAGTATTTCCAAGTTCGTGTCATCAACCAACACAAGAACACGTCACTCGATATCCAGCAACAATGTCGGATTACTTCGAAAATCAGAAGAAGAATGGAGAATTCGAACATACACCGAACTAAAACATTATAAACTAACAATATGATTGGATTGAACATGCCTTGACAGACAAACAATCTGAGATGGAATTAACCTCTTCGAACTTCCGGCGACAGTTTTCGGAATCGTCAGACTCTTGTTCTTCGCCGATGGCTTCCCGAGATGAGCGACGGCCAGTGAGTAGATTCGAGTAAAACCCTAAACCCTCGGCTTAATTGTTAAGCCCAAACCCATTAAATCATAACACCGTATAGGCCCATTAAAACCATTTAGGCTTATTATGGGCCCATTAAGGCCCACTTACAAAATAAGGTCCTTAGAAACCCAGCCCACAGGCGCAACGGCCATCAACGGTCTGAGGTCTCAACATCAGAGCAACAACAACGGTGAATTGGGTCTCTGCAAATCGAGAAACCCTAATTGTTCAAAGCATCTGGGTAAATTCATATCAATTGACAATTGACAGATCTATCCTTCATCTTTTTTATTTTTTTTTATAAATCAGATTTTGTTGCTGATTCTGATTCATAATCATATTTTCTCCACAATGTTGAACCTCTGAAACTTAACAACATGGATCTGAAGATGCAAAATCCATCTGGTTTTCCAATATCAGGACAAGCATGATAGAAAAGTTTCATATTACATTTCTTAAGATCTCAAGAACTTGACTGTGTCAGCATTTCATTCCGTGAAAATTTCCATAAATCCAAAACAAGGAACTCTGTTTATGAACAAATCTCAACAAACACATAGATGAACATAAATACAAACGTTCACTTCTTCTTCCCGGCTTTTCCTTCTTTCCTCCGGACAACCTCGTCAGCATACTTAACTCCCTTACCCTTGTACGGTTCCGGTGGCCTCCACTTCCTAACCGAAGCAGCAAACTGCCCGATGTTGCTCTTATCATACCCACTGACTATGATTCTTGTGTTTTCTTCCACTTTCACTTGGAGGTCATTGGGTATTTCCATTCTCACAGGGTGAGAAAACCCTAGATTCAGAACCAACTCTTT